CCGGCCCAGGGAGATAAATTTCTCCTACTCAGTACACCACTGAATACAATACATAAATATAAATATTTATACCCATATCAGATAGTATTTTTACGGTGAAAACTATAACGATTTAAGGGGGTTGGAAGCAGACATTTTTTAAGGGGTTGAGTATAGACAATACCTTATATACGTGATGTTATGCTTTTTGAGTGTGTGCTTTAGTAAACGATTATTAGTATGTGTGTGTGTGTGTGACTTCCCCGAAATAATACGCTCCGTCCTTATCAGCAAATGGACTATCATTAGACATTACCGTCGTCGTTTATATGCCGCAAGACATAATATTATTCAATATTATTATTATTATTATTATTATTATTTATCAATTCATAATAATTAATAAATATAACACATTTGCAATTCGAGTGCGATTGCCAGATTTTATAAAAAAACGTTTAGAACGAATATTTATAACATCTAATTATTAAATGATTCAAAATGTATTGGAAATAAAATAGAAATCTAAAAGTACTATAATCATAACAAATAAGTTCGTAAGTTTTATGGTAATTATATTTATACAATTTATCACAATAACTATAATAATAACGTCTGAAACTAAACGTTAGACGTGGCTCCTATAAGTATTAAGTACTAAGTGTCGACTCAATCCATAGGTGACTGCGGCATAATCGTACAGTATGTGAAAAAACTCATTACAGTAAATATACCAAATTATAAATATATGTAATACAATTTATTTGAATTCACAATAAGACTATATAGGGATCTATATAATATTATCGGTTCGCTGGCGGCTGGCGTTGCGCGCCGGCATTTAACGTTTCGGGGAAACAATGGTTTGCACGCGCATGCACAAGTCATTGGATTTGATGAAATAAAATATATTGTTCCGACGAAGAAACTGAAAATTAATCAAACCAGACAAAAAAACGTCAACTCCAAATGATCCGATTTCAATTCTGTAAAAAGATTTGAGTTGATCATCCTTTTTTCTAGGTTATTGTGGAAGTCAATTTTAGAATAACTGTTTAACATTCATACTAAAGTAAATCTAAAAATTAAAAAAAAAAAATTGAGAAACTCAAATTAGATTTAAATACAATTTTTAAACAAATATCAAAAATCGATT